ACTGGAACCACCAGGGCCCTAGTGGAAAACCGTTAATGAGCCAAAAAAGAGCACGAAATCTCGAATCAAGAGATTGGAGTTTAAATTTTAGATGAGCTTCTTAATTCTTCGCAGATCATTCCGTTTCCTTTTCAGTAAAAGACCATTACAACTTTACGTGAAGGATTAAATGTGAGAAGTTAAGAGCAGGTTGAAATTGTGAACCAATATATATTAGTTTTTGCTTCTATGAACCCTTGATTTATGTGATATAGAATTGGGTACATCTTGGGTAGCCTGCATTTTTCTCAGAATAATCAGGGAGAGATGAGCATGGGCAGTGTCAAGGAGCCAAAAGTTGGGACACTGAGGTTAAACAAATTAAGTCTCATAGTAAATACTGTCCTTTGCAGCACTCAGCAAATTGCAATGAAGCTTTTTAGAGTCCTCTCGAACAGAATCCAGAACACTAGCGAGGGCAGGAACCCATTTCTATTAGGTTGTGCTGTGTTCTCAGGGCAAGCACTCAGTGCACAAATAGGTGCTTGATAAAATCCTACAAAAGAAATTAGGAAGGGATCACAAAGAAAACTTACTGAGCTAGGGTTTATGGTGTAGCCTCACCTATCCACCCACTGGCGTCATGTCAACTCCTCCCGACAGCAACAGGATAGGACAGGACAGAACTGCACCTGACAGTTTTCAAGACGGTAAATCATTAGGGGAGCAGACAGCATCATCTGTCTTCCTCGGATCAGCAGGTGCGTTTGTACCCCCAACCTTGTGGCTAGCAGCCCAGCGCTTACCCCACTGCACCACTATGCCCAATAGTGAGACCCAAATATGGTTCTGAGATGAAATGTCACGCCAGCTACAGAATGATGGGGTAACAAGGCACATGTCCTGGTAATTTCAGCACCTATGCTATGCTAGAGTTTCATTTCAGACTTTACTATTAAAGGTCAAACTCCTCAAATTCATAGCCAAACAGGTGAACATGAGATCTTTTGAGCTTTCGAGATAAATGGAACTTGGTTCTATTAATAAAGAAGCGTTTATATAAAGAGCACAGGGTTCTCAAGTTGTATGTATATGTGGAGAATTCATTTATATAAAGATGTTTTCTAAACAAAACAAAATGTTTTCTAAACATGTGCCATTATCTTTCAGCTTTAGTTAGGCATTATTCAAGCACCTCAAGCGCCTTCAGGAGGTGTCAGCAGGGCCACTTTACCCCTGCCCTAGCAGCAGTTCTGGAAGATTGCCTCTCCTGGCCAGTCTTTCCAGGCTTCTGCATCGACAAGCTCCGGGAGGCAGCTGCTCTACTTCCACTGGATCCCCTCCCATCAGGGATGTGACTGCCTCTATCTTTAGAAACTCTTCATAGCTCTTTAAAGCCTAATGTTGCAGGCAATATAAACTGGTTTCATTTTTCATGTGGCTTCAAGTCCATGGCAAACTGTATTGATACTAGCTAAGGAGACAGTCCTTTTTTTTTTTTTTTTTTTGAGGTTGAATGTCATTTCCTCTTATCACCACGCCCACACCAGTAGGCTAATAAATATGGAGGTAAGTCAGAGTACTACGCGGGTTCGTTGATCGATGTTTTTTCCCCCCAAACAAAATATGTTTAAAGCATGTCTCTGTGGGCAGTTCTGTCTGGGGTACCTACAAAGGACCAACCAAAACAATAGCTTCAAGATCTGCTGGGCCAGTGAAATTTAAGGCAGAGAGGTCAGTGCAAAAGGTTATGGCAACTCTTTTGGGGGACTCTTAAGTAGTCATCTTGATAGATTTCCTCAAAGATGACCACAGGGGCTGATTAGGAAGTGTTTAAAAACAGAAAGCTACACAAGCGAGAAAAAAGCCCTGAAAGCTGCACCAAATTTTTTACCCATCTCAATGCTCCTGCACACTCTTTAGAGGTAGCAAGGGCTGTTCTATGAGAATTTTGTTGGGAAACCTTATTGCATCCACCCTACAGCCACGCTCTTGGCCCTTCAGACTTTTTTGTTCCCCATGCTCAAAGAACATTTAAAAGGAACAAGATTGGAGTTCCTCCTATATGCCAAAACTGCCATCCGGACATTTGTGAAAATTGAAGATCGCAAAGTTCTTTGGGGAAGGATGGATTAGTGAAGATGGACACACCACCTACAGAAGTGCGTAGATATTCAAGATGGAAGATATGTCAAGAAACAATAGTTTGTTTTATTCAATAAAGTATAATAGTATAGCAATACTTTTTCATTTACTCTGGAATATTTAGAATAGCAAATAACATGCAACTGTATTGGATTTTAATGTCTGTGATAGGTAGGTTTATTGTGCCAATCTGGCCAATAAACACATGTGGGATTAATAAGGTTGCAGTTTAATTGAAGGGCAAAGAGATAAATGGCTCGGTGAGCCTCACCTTTCTGTCTCTTGCTCTTTGATCGGACCAGTGTGCAGCTGCCTTACTGCTCTGCCTCAACCTGCGAGTTACACTACCTGTGGGACACCCAATCCATGGACCGTATTGCTATACTTTGAGGTTCCTTCAAGACCTGCTTCACCACACTGCTGGTGCATACATCACTTGAGCTGGAGATTGTCAGACCGTCATCTGGCTGTTGGTGACCCGCCCTGCTGTTTGCTGCCTGTGGCCGGACTGCCTGTATTGCTCTACATTAGACTCAGCTGTCTGCTTCCTTGATTTGCACCCAGCAGCTCTTGTGAGTTGAAGGACTGCCAGTATATTAACTGTCTCACGTGAGTTGAACTGAGCCCTCTGTACTGCTCTGTGGACTAACTAGCTGTTTCTCTATGTTGCATTATCTATCTAAAATCATAAGTGTCCTGGTTTTGTTTCTCTAGAGAGCCTCGTCTAACACAATGTCCTTTAATATTGCCTATTATGAGGCACCAATTATATTTTTGTTTTATTTTTTAAATCATTTTATTGGGGGCTCATACAATTCTTATTACAATTCACCCATCCATCGTGTCAAGCATATAGTTACATTTGTTGCCCTCATCATTCTCAAAACATTTGCCTTCTACTTGAGGCCTTAATATCGGCTCATTTCCCCCCTCCCTCCCCACGCCCCTCTCCCTCATGAACCCTTCATAATTCGTAAATTATTATTTTGTCATGTTACACTGTCCGACGCCCCCCCCCCCCTTCTCTGCTGTCCATCCCCCAGGGAGGAGGCTGTATATTCTTGTAATCAGTTCCCTTTCCACCCCACATTCCCTCCACCTTCCAGGCATCACCACTCTCACCACTGGTCCTGAAGGGGTCATCTGTCCCCTGACCACGAGCTGTGGAAGGGATCAGGTATCAAGCATCAAAGAACAAAAAAACCTTATCATTGTAAATATGGGTGAATAGAGAGTGGAGACTCAAAGCCCATCAGTAGGCAACTGGACACCCCCTTACTTAAGGGTTGTGCAAAGATGAGCCAGTCAGGGTGCAGGGCTAGCAACGATGAAATATATAACTTTCCTCTAGTTCTTAAATACTTCCTCCCCCCACTATCACGATCCCAATTCTACCTTGCAAGTCTGGCTAGACCAGAGGATGTACACTGGTACAGATAGCAACTGGAAACAAGGGAATCCAGGACAGAGGCACCGATTCTTAATAGCAGAGATGGATAAGGTGTCCCCTCAGAATCTAAGCAAGCTTCTGTAGCTACTTTTCATCCCTTGTTTTTCTGCAGACTATTTGGTCAAACAGAACAGCACCTACTACCAAAAGCAAGAAAGCCATGTGTTATGGATGGAATGACATACCCCCAGAATATGTGCTTAAATCCTAACTTCTATACCTGTACTTAGTTACCCACATCTCACTTACTGACAGATTCTAAAGAGCATGGTCATTGAGTGAGTAGTAGTCTTATGTGAAAATAAGAGTTATGTCTACATCAGATCACAAAATGGAGGATAACCACATCATTACATAGCCAAACCTCTGACAATCATGGTCTAGTCACGTTGACATAAACCTTCACCATCATTACTCTTCCCTTGCACCATGGCATATGTTACTGTGGACATATATCATTAATGTGTGAGATAGATTTTTTTACTATTATCACACATGCAAAATGTTAACATTAAATGATGAGTAGGTGTAACCCTCTTTGGAAATAGGTTGTCTTGTTCTATTAATCAGGGAGATTAGTATAGGGTGTGCCTGGTGATATAAAAAAAGATTAAATAAGCAGGGAAAGATGGAGTACGAGAGATGCCAAGACAGATCTCCAATGAGCAGGGATGGAGGAGCTGAACAGACAAGGAAGGCGGACCTTCCTCCAGGGCCAACAGAGAAAGACAGACTTTCCCTTGAGTCAGTGCTTGGAGTTCGGACTTGTAGCTTTCTACACTGTGAAAAAATAAATTGTTAAGCAAAAAAAAAAAAAAAGATAGAAACACCAAGTTTACTGGTCTGCTGGAGACTGGTGGAACCGCCAAGACCACAACCCTCAGCTATCCTTGTGTCTTAAAACTGAGTTTAAACCCGTGGCTCAACTTTCAGTCAAATAATGGCTTGCCTATAAGGTGAACAAAAATATCAGGGAGGCACACACTCCTCAGAACGGTCAACCAGTTGAGTTCACAGAGGCAAGTATTTGCCCAGGGATAAAACTCAGACCTTAGGAAGGGAGAGAGGAACAGATGGAAATACTACGTTCAGGCAAAGTATGGGCTACACCGTGGGATTGCAATTAATGTCACAAGACATGTATGAATTGTTATAGAAAACCCACTTTTCTTTGTAAACTTGCACCCAAATCACAACCAAAAGTTAGAAGTAGGATATACTATATATTAAGATAAAAATGGAACTTTCTCCAATCCTGTTCAAATACCATCTTTAGAAGACTGAAAGAATTGCCAATAAAGGTACTTCATTAGAGAAAAAAATGTGATTAAACAAAGAACTTCCAGTTTTTATTTCTTAAAGTTATTTAACATGAAAAACATTTAACCAAATTTTAAAAATTAGACGACTTAATTTACAAAAAAAGTGGAAATATCAGTCCTTTTATTTAGGGTCAATGATGCCATGTTTCCAATTCAACAGCAGACTTGCACAATTGGTATTTTTACTAATACGTGGAGGCACATTAACATGCCAGACAACTTCCATCAAGACCCCCTTTCCCTCTAGAAGAGCTCACCATTGTTTTGTAAGTCAGTACTCAGGCGTTATATTTTGAACAACTTGTAACTACTCTGATAAAGAGAACACTTTAAAACAATTCTCATAGAGAGTAAATACCTTAAAATAATGTTGTGGCATGTGAGACTGCTAAGAGAGAGAAAGGATGAAAAATAATGTATAAAATTATAGTCTCAAATTTATAGAAATCACCCAAATAAAATATTTCTCCTAATTATCTTTGCTTCTTATAATGTTAGCAGAGATGAAGAAACAGAATGCACCCTTTTTTTTTGGGGGGGGGGCCTGTGGCTGGAAAGGAGTGGGGAGGTCTGGGTAATAGCTGCCAGCTTAGGAATTTATAACAGTAAATATAAAGCAAAATATGATTATTCTCACAAATTATAAAATAGGAAAAATTCCTCTAAAGTGTTTCTCTGTCCTTGTTTTCAAGCCCAAACAAAAACATTCACAGCACCCTTTAAAAGAATGGTGCCCATTAAAATAAAATTGTGACTAATCTTACTATTACACTCGTAAAGTGTGTATAGTAAGTATCTTTTATAGGAACATTCTATAGTAAGCTGTTTTGAGCCCTAAACAGATTTCATTGACAGATAATGCATGGTAGCCTTTAGACACAACATCTTACTTTTACTCTTGAGCTTGCAACATTAAAAAAATGCAAACATAAAGGAATATATAATGTATGCTAGCTGGCCGGGCACTTAATTTTAGGAAAATAATTTCAGATTTTGAGGTAAATTAGAATTTTCAGCACCCACAAATTCCAAAACAAAAAACCCCAAACTCACCACCAGAGTCAATTCCAGCTCACAGTGGACCTACAGTGCAGGGCAGAACTGCCCTGTGGGTTTACAGGACTTCAACTACTTACGGGACGAGAAAACCTCATCATTCTCCTGTGGAGCAGCTGGTGGTTTTGAACTACCGACCATGTGGTCAATAGCCCAATGCATACCAGAGATCCTTGTACTCACAAATATCCTAAAAACTACAGTTGATATCACCCTAACAGAAGTCATCCAGTTGTTCTTTTAAAAATCTGTTCTGTAAGTTTGCTGCTGTATTATACAAAAACTCAGCCCCCAATAAAATAATTAATAAACAAAAACAAAAAACCTCATACCTAAGTTTAACTTCTTAGGAAGTGAGGGACATTTTCAGGACCCAGTTTTGGCCCATCTAAATACTTTAGCTGTTCTTAGAACGTACTCAAGAAAACTATAGGTACATAGCCTGAGATGAGTAATTACTCCCCCCCCCCCCAATTAACATGAAAGTGAATAGGGAAAGGGTCATACTGTCAGTCACACAGACTCCAGGTCGAGGCACTTAAGCTCAGAGAAGGTACCAGCAGAGGAACTCTTCCCAGGTGGTGACTGCTGGGAAAGCTCCAGGCTTGGCAGTGAAGCACAAGCCTCCAGGTTTCCCCGAGCATGGTGTAGGGCTCTCCCCTAGCGGTGAATGCTGGTCAGGGAAATGCACACTAGCAGAGGGTCATCTTCAGGAAGCATTTAGATATTAAAGAGCTGAAATTTCGCCATTCTGTAATGATTCTTTTATCATAGTTTACTTTTCATTAGAATTACCAGGGTAGTATCTGCAAATAGTAAAGCCAAGCTTCCAAATCCTTGTCATGAATGATGAATTCTATTTCCTATTCTTTTCAATTTCCATTCAAACACTACTTTTTAACACACCAGTTCTGGCTGTCTGGTACACAGAGACTAATTAACAGAAGTTCTCTTTTAAATCCTTCAGGACATTATGTTTAAGGGAAAAACAAGCCTCCCCCCACCCCCACCCCCCAAAAAGTTTTACTTTGGGTTCAAGGCACCCTCCTTAAAAAAAATAAAGCTTAACGAGAAAATATTGGTTTAATTTTGCTACAACTAGCTAAAAAAAAAGTCAGTACTTTTTTCAAGATTTCTCCAAACAGATCCTCCTTAGGATCTAACCAAGTGTTTCCAGTCGTGGTGAAAACTGCTGCTAATTGACCTTTTTTTCCTTGCAGGGTCACCAGCAGAAGGCACCTGGCAAAACTAGCTGGAGTTACACAAAGTGCAAATGTAAAAGCACTTCACTGTGTGATGCTAACTGGCTCATTCAAGTTTTGAAACTGTGACCTTGGTCTACTAGCACCATGTCTGCCCAACTGAAATAACTAATCACACCTCCTCATGATGGTGGCACTAAGGACAAAAGATGGGGTGAGAAGGATCGAGGGCAATAATTACTTACATGATTAAAATACCAGAACATACAATGAAGATGTAGTCTAGTTATTAGTACACTGCATTTGAGGATGGGAAATCATCAATGATAGCTATTAAACAGAGATATCTACAATACTCTCTGACATGACCCACATTCGAATATGAATGGAAGGACACTGGGTATTGGGTAAACTCCAAGAAACAAATCCCATCTCAAAAGTGTGGAGAGTAGGTAAGAAAAATCAGTGAAACTACTCATTATTTCCAGTTTCATCTTTCTCCTTGGGCAACCCAAAAATATAGCTCTGGAAAACCAAGTTCATATGTGTAAGAAATGGCATGTATTATTAGACAGGTATAGCTTCTCCTCAAAGGTCAGAATATCTCCGACAATCCATTTTCAGACATAATGGTTTTTTCAGACATCGACACCACTGAAGTGTTCTCAGGGATATCTACACACTTCTGAGAAAAAGGCACTTCACTGTCCGAGTTTGATTTAATTATGTCCAGTTAAGCAGACTAGGATAGACTCAAAGGTCAGTATTCATATTTGTGTTTATGAATACAGAGCAGATACCAGAAATAGAATATAGCCAATGACATTACAAACAAACTAAATAGCAACAGTAACTACATTCTCTGCAAATAGTAATTTATGACATTTCTCCAAAAACCAACATAGTTCCAAGTTCAACAGCAAAAGGAAAGACAACAAAACCCAAAAAAACAACCCACCAGCAGCTGCTTACTTTAGAGCTCGAGACAGTTTTCAACAGAACTGCGTGTCTGTTCTACAGTCTGCTTCTCTGTTTCAGAGCAGGAATTGCTTTTCCGATGACAAACCTGGGCTGGCAGAGGTGTATGTGTGCGAGGGGGGGAAAGCCCAGGAAGGGGCAATACTGGGCATTTCTCTGGTCAGACAGCCACGTGAGGAGGTAGTTATTCTGAGAACTTCTCCAACAGAGAACTTTTCGCTGATATACTGAGAGGTGGGAAATACAGGTGCTTCTTGGTGAGACTGAGGACAGCAATAGGGACCCTCCTCCAAGGAAGTCAGGACCAGGTGTCAGTGCAGCTGAAATCAAGACAAGACGCATGTGAGTGCCTGTAGAGTTTACGGGAGCAAGTTTTAAAATTTCAACCAGAACCCAAATTTGTCCTACCTTGAGAGTGGCTCTTTTCTGATAGTACTAAGTATCTGTAAGAAAAGAAGCCACATCGTGTCATTATCATCTAGTTATGACACAGCAACCCTTCAAACTTTTGGCCAATACCCGGAATATGGGATACATACACTTCCTAACTAATGTCTGTTAACTTCTCGCATTTTGACAAAGGTAAAAATGTTTGCAGAGTAATGGTGTTTTAAAAATAACTCAGATCTTCTTCCCAGAGTGAGACTGTCAGTTAAATAGCAATAGAGAGAAAATAATATTAGTAGACCTCTCCAAACTGCCTGATGTTCAATGGTAAGATTTATAATGATGTTAGACACCACGGTTTTCCTCACCTTGTTACATCACCACACATGGCAACCCCATACAACCTTGAGTCCCATCATCACTGCTATTGAGTTTTTTCATTCGGTACTGACGAATTTCTCTTACCAGTGTGTAAAAGGCATCTTCAACCCCCTACAAAAGATGACAAAAATAAAGCAACATAGCTTAACTGACACAATTCAGGTTACAAATTTTCCTTTATGTTCCACGTAGATTTCAACTTTCTGTTACTAAGTTAATAAGAATCTCATATTAGTAAATTAATACTCCTACGAACTCTACTAAAGCCTCTAAATAACTTCAGCTGCTAAAATGGGGTAACTGAAGAAGAGGGCACTAAATTTAGCTTCCTGCTAAATCACATGAACAGAATGATATTAAAATGACATATTCTGCCAAAAAAATTTTTTTACGTTAATGTAGGACACAGAAAATGATGAAATCTAGAGAGTCCACTCAGGCAGGTTTACGCCCTAAATAGTGAGCTAAGGTGCTAAGAGATGATGGCGAAAGGACTGATGTTTTTAATCAAGGACGTTCACTGGCGAAATATTTGCCAATGAGGAAGTGAAGAACAAAAATGCCACACCAGAATAGTACGTTCATTTTGAGATTCAAGTGAAGAAAATAGAACACTATCAGAAATTCTTAAGAATATAGCGTGTGGGTTTCATTTCTAGCAGAGTCAATCAAACCAATTTTCCTCCCTTCCACCCTTGCCCAGATACTCAAATACCTGCCGGGTCTTGGCTGAGGTTTCAATGAACGGAATCCCATAGCTTTTGGCCAGTTCATGCGCTTGTTTTGTGTCAACTGTCCTTGTTGGTAAATCACACTTGTTTCCTACCAGCACCATAGGTACATCATCTGAGTCTTTTACTCGTTTAATCTGCTCCCTAAAAAAGGAATGTTAATCAGTCTTCAGGAGGGAGACTAGTTTAGGCAAAAGAGCAACTGGCAGATTTCATCTAACTTTATGAGTTTCATTCTAGGGTTGCGCTCCAATCTGAAAGCTAGTATGGCAAGTGCATGCAGGAACTTGTTGAAACCGGAGGCCACAGCCATTTCAAAGCAAAGCGCCAGTCCCCCACCTAGTGGAAGTGAGTAGTATTCTATCCAAGTCAGTGCTCACTCTAAATCAAGTCGGGAAGTGAAACTGAAGTTCACTGCTGTCTCCTAACAACTTTGAGGTTCCCTTCAGAATAAGGGGTAGTATTTAACAGAGAACAGTCTCTCCAAGTCTCTAAAAGAGTGGTAGTCACCATTTTCCTCAAACGAAATTATAGTTGGAAGCACAAGATATAAACTAGAAAACACTAGAACGGCCGTAATGAAAAGTGGACTGAAGGATCTGGCATTCCACACTGATCAGTGTTCCCTAACAGTGAGGCACTCATCATGGTCATGTAAGACACACAGACATGTTAACACATGCCCCAGAGTGTATCTGGATTCTCTAGAACAAAACTGTCCAAAAGAATTTCTGCGAGGAAAGAAATATTCTAAATCTGTATGGTCCAACACAGCAGCTTCTAGCCACTTCAGCACTCGTTATTTTTATTGCTATTTAAAATTTTTTACTTCAATAGCTCCATATGGTTTGCAGTACTGTACTGCACACAGCACGGCGCTTGGATTCCATACAATCATGTACCTAAACTTCATTACACTGGTCATGTGCAGAACTGTTCATTGGTGTGATGACTGCAAGCTATGTGAAGGGAAGCTCCTGATAAACTTTGACCACATCGCTGGTAGGTTACTAGTAGTCTTTAAACAACCTTCTTTGGGGATCCATCAGATAATTTTCTTCTGGTCTTAGTATAATCCTACTTCTGAGCAACTAATCTTTCTGCAGACACAGTTCTCATAAATGCTGCTGAATTTGTAACTTAACCTCTGTAAAACCAACAGAGCTTCATGGTGCACAATAAACTCTGAATAATTACAGAATATGCTGGTCCCATTTTTTTAAAAATCCCACTTCTTAATCTCAAATAATTTAAACCATTTCACTGGCATATAATCCACTTGTCCTGCAATCCAATAGTTCAACCATATCAAGAAGAGTTGTACAATCATCATCAATCAATTTTAGAACATTTTCTTCTTTCTTATACTCATTGTTATCTAGCTCATTTTCCAAGCTCCACTGCCATATATATCCAAGAAACCATTAGTCCAGTTACTGTCTCTGCATATTTACCTAGCCTGGGTTTCATATACAGAGAAACATATAACAAAAAGGCAAACAAACAAAAATCCAACACTAACAAAATAAAATAGAAAAAAAATCTCAATCAAAAATAAAATTCTTTAAAAAAATTTCTTAAATCCATCTTCTGTACTTTGTGTATATATATATATATAT